AATAACAATCTATTAATTTAACACGTACTTGCTTAAATAAGCTTATTATTGGTGAAGTGATAATCAATGAAAGCTTCTACAGTGATACTATGTACGATTGTACTTTGCCTATTTGGAGTTATTTAAAATTATGATTCCAATGTTAGTATCTATATAGACTTAAATAAAATGTGCAGCATCTCAGATGAAGGACACTGTTGGATCGGTATATATACCTCATGTTAGTAACTTGATAACTTGACGACTTGACCAGAACTCATATATATAATTTTCACAGCGCGATAGAAAGGTACGTACAATCATTATTAGGATGTATCATACTGCCATGTGAGCCGGCCATATATAATATCTGCCAGAGATTTACTTTGAACATAATAGATGATATTAAGTACAAAGATTCACTATAGGTAAACTGTACTAATTGCTATGGAGTTAGGTTTGATGCCCACGTTTGGGAAGACCATCGTGGAGTGGTTTTTTTCCTCTCTTCCTATTTCTAATAAATTAAATAAAAAAAACTAATGAAAAAAATGTGGGACTCCATTTTCTTGAATAGACGGCCGTGGAGTATTTTTTTTCTTTTGTTTATTACTATTTCAATGTAAAAAAAATTGTCGAATTTTTAGGTTTAAAATTAATTAAACAAAAAAACTTATGAAAAAACATGGGCCCATTTTTTGGAATTGGAGTAATTTTTTTTTTTTTTACTTTTCAGTTTTACAAAAGAAGTGTTCATAAACGTGGGACTATTGAATAACTGAATTGGTTAGTTCTTTAAAATTTTGTAATTTTATTTTATTTTGATTTTTTTTTTGAATCTCCAAATTTAGTGGAGTTTTGTCTTAAAACATGACACATGTCAATAGTTTGTGATGACACTTGGCATAATATCATGGATTTGCTTCTCCTTTTATATATAAATAGATAGATAGATTATTAAAAAGTATTGCAAGTAAAGAATATAATATAAATTTAAAATGGTATTACCTCTTCTTTAATATTATAATCCTAAAAACAACTTCGTCTCTTGAATTCCTGTATGGTGTTACTGAACCACTTCGAATAAATAATAATAATTTTATCACCGCATCGAATGAATAAGGGACAACATTAACTTGGTTCAAAATGAAGAAAAAAATCGGTGTTGACAAGAAAAATAAGGAAGATACATTGATTTTGGAGTTCTCAACTACAAATATCTACCCCTCTGATCTATTAGTAATTTTTATCATGATTCAATAAAAAAAATTGATTTTTATGAATTTATAACTTAACCAAAATCGAAATAGTTCCTATAATACCACATTTATGTGAAGAAATAGTGGAACGAAGAAAGTTGTGTCAAAACCACCGATTTTTGCCCAAAATATTTCACTCTATCCAATAATTTAGGACTTTGGGCAAAGACTCCTCGCACGCAATAAGAAAAGTGACTGTGAGACACCAAGTATGAATGTTATTATGGTAATTTAACTTTTTAGTTTAGGTCTTCCCACTTTTATAATAGTACTAGTCTCTATACGTAAATATTTAGTCAATTATTCATAAGAAGGAACAACAACTTCTTGTTATTGGCATTAATATCCCTCTTAAAAATTCAATATATAATTGCTCATGTGAGAAATCATGAAGCAACAACGACAATCTATTATCTGAGATTTTATGATCATGTGCTTTATTTATCTTCTCCTCGAAACACAAGTGTAACTAAAACTATTCTTGTCCATATTTAAATACTTTCATCGTTCGACATTTATAAAAAATAAATAACATAATAATATAAAAAAGTAGATATTAAAAGTGTACTTCGTAGATGTAATTATCAATTTATATTTATAAGTGATTGAATATTAATTTCATGCTACTTATAAAGATATTATACATGGGGAATCTCTTGTTCAAATTTTATATCTTTTACTCCTATAAAAGAGTTATATAGCGTAGTAATTCTTAATCCCAAAAATATTTAAAAAAGAACATAACCAAGTAGGTTTGCATATCTCTTGAACTTGGTTTATGAATCACATGTCCTATTTTTTTTTTCCCCAACTTCGTAGCTAATTAGCAAATTTATGCTACGTACTTAATAAGTTTTTCTCTTTTAATTAATCTTTTAATCTTCCTTTTAAGATTATAGCAATAGTTCTTTGCCAAAAAAAATAAATCAATAGTTAATTGTAACATAACAAATCTAAAGCCATAGCTCTCACAACAATCAAGCTTCCCAAACTCAGATCTGACAGACGATTTCTCAAATAAATTAAGTCATGACAAAATAAAATTTCTTGATAAAATTTTTAGAAAAGTTCTGTTAACTTCCATATTGAACCTATACAACAAACACATAAAACACTAACATTAAATAAAAAATTGACACAAAACTTTAACGTTGTAACGCAAGTCCTCAAATCATTGGTCAGGGATATTGATCACGCCCAACTATGCCTTCTAGAAAAGAACTCTGCGGACGTTGCAAATATAACCCGAGTATTACGCCCAGGGTCGAATCCACAGAGAGTTAACCTATCAACCGCTATCTTCAAACCCACCAAGTATTCAGCACCAGCTTCTCAAACATTCAAATTCTCAGTTGAGTGTTCTTTAACAACTAGCTTGCAAGTAACTAAATGGCTGTAACTAAATTAATAAGGTTGTAAACAATTATGAGGAAAAGCTAAGGCAATGATTTCCCCTATTGATGGAATCCCTTCTGTTTATGCTCATACAAATGTACCCACACATCTCTATCAATCATGAACGCTAATCTTACCGCAAATCTCTCCCGAGTAATCACAGTAATCTACTATTGCACTCTCCCGAGATACACTAACTTGCTTTATTTAATCACAATTCACTTTAGATTGCACCCAAGACTTCGTTATTCCTAATCCCGCCTTTAAACCCACAATTATCGATTCCTCTAATAATCTAGGAGTGGTGTTGTTCAACAATACCCTAAACATGCACTCTTTTCCAGGTTATGCACACTAAATAGGTACAGCTAATTGAGGATCCTGTCAATTAACTACAACGAACACGAAGTTGAACAAATAAAGATTAAACTAGCAATTTGTATTCACATAAACAAGAAGTTCATCACCCAATAGGTTCCATCAAAGCCTTAGACAAGGAATTTAGCTACTCATAGATATGGGAGAATAAACTACACTTGAATTCATCCTAAAAATCAAAAGAAAGAAGAAAGATGTTTAGAGTACTTGCTCACAATTGTTTTCCTTGCTAAGAAACCTAAAAAATCAATACATGCCTCTCTTGGGCGAAGTCTAGTGTTTTAAATAGGGTTTAGGTCTAAAAATCCCGTGTTTTACACTTAAGTCCCTGAAGTTTACTGTGCCCACCGCGGTTCTACCGCGATCGCGGTAGAACCGCGGCCAAACGCCCTCACGGAATCTTCAACTTTCAGAAACTGCCTTCCACCGCGGTTTCACCGCGGTCGCGGTAGAACCGCGGTGGAACTTGTACCCGGAAGTTTTGGCCTGTTTTGAATGGGATACTTGGAAAATTCAACAATTGGCCTTTTTTCATCAATAGTTGACTCCAAAACCGCTCCTTAGCTTTCCTTACACCTATATCACCTGCAAATCATGAAAAGCACTAATAAGAGCATTTTGTTGTCATTTTTCCACATTAAAAGTTCACAAGAAGGTGATTATTGGTGCGTGATTATAGTCAAATTCACCTATTATCAGATATCCAAGATCTAATATCTAGCGTAAAAAGAAGGTGATTGCACAATGAAAGTGATGTCTTCATATTATGAACTTGAGATAGATACAATTTGCTTTTGCCAATCTCAACAATGAACTCGATTATGAAATTATCGTAAGCAAAATCCTAGACCAATCTTAAATGCAAATTACCTTATCAAGTTATGTTTACTCTTTCATACCTCTTATGTTTAGAGAGTTAAACTTAGAAAGTTGTCATGATTGAAAATCTAAACAAATCCAAGCACAAATTGAACCTTCTTTCCCTAATTAGAAATTGTTAGACATCAATGCTGGTTCATTGCAGAAGCAATTTTCTCGAAGCCTTCTTGTACTTTCCCGTACTGATACGTAAAAAATTAAATCTTGATAGAATTCACGTGAGGGAAGAAATAATTAATTTACCAGTCAAAATAGTGATACTCCAATAAAAAGGAACTACTCGTTAAAATAAATTGTGACCTTCATATATAAAGGAAATGAGTGGTTCACAGTGTTCTAATCCAAGTGAGATTGCTTTGAAACTTCAACTCTATATTGGACACACAAATTTTAGACTATTTAATGGGCGTTTGGACATAAAAATTGTAAAATTCCGAAAAAAATAAGTTTTTCTCAAGTGAAACTGATATTTGAAAATTAGATTTGTGTTTGGACATAAATATAATTTTGGGTTTTTTTGAATTTTGAGAGTGATCTGAGTGAAATTTTTGAAAAACAGCTTTTTGGAGATTTTCAAATTTTCAAAAAATTCTAAAATTCATCTTCAAGTGAAAATTGAAAATTTTATGGCCAAACACTGATTTCGAAAAAAAGTGAAAATTTTTCAAAAAAATATAAAAAAAACTCTTATGTCCAAACGCGTAGTTTGTGTTCAATTTATATCTGGCTACAATATGGCTTCCTTTTCCAACTAAGCTTCCCGTTCTCCTAACTCTCATAAAAGTTTATCTCTTTGTATTATTATTCTTTATTAAATAATCTTCAACGTAAAATTTGGTCTTATTTACAAAATCTTGGACTTTAATTGCAAGACTTTTACCTTTTTGTACATTAATATTGTAGAGATATCTAATTAATTAAGGTTATATAAGTCGATCAATATTTTAAGGATATTTTAGTCGTTTAATATTAAGCATAAAACATTCGTGCTTTTATAATATATATATATATATATATATATATATATATATATATATATATATATATATATATATATATATATATATATAAATCGATGCTGCATTCGTTTGGGTTGTCTGGTTTGCTAGTACTACGTTTTCCTGTAAATTCTTTTTTAGGGTAAAGGCGAGAAACTTTAGCAGCAGAATCACTATTTGTTTGGTTCTGTCATATTAAGGGTTTTGCCAATTCTGACTGATCTATTTGAAGCTTTTACTTTTAGCCCAAACTTAATCAATGGTTTATAATGGATGAGAACGAGACTCAACCCTATCAACAATAGTATGTAAGTGGTGTTGTATTGTATTTTATAATTGAGTTTGAGTTTGAGATTGTAGTTGTGGCTTTACTTCGTGTTCCAAATTCATATATATTTACGTTTCTTATATTCAGTTTGTGTCTGCTCTACTGCCTAATAAGGAGTATATGGTGGGGGAGACTAAGGTTTAAATCCCATTACAGACAAAAACGTTACACGATTTATTTTTATTTGCTAAAATTTTAGTGAATATAGTTATCGATTATATTGTGTTGGTGGAAGGTAACAAATATCATATTTTTTAATTTTTTTTAAAAAAGGAGTTTATAGTTGGGGAGGGCTGCAGCTATATATTTGAGTGGCTACTTATCGCTCTGGTTCTGACTTCTAATGTATAATTTTTCCTTTTATTGTCGGATGAAGTGATGGTCAATCACAAGTTCCTGCAAGTGGTTTAGGCGGAGGAGGAGGTGGCAGCGGCGGCGCAGGCAGAGGTAGAGCTGCGGCGGCTAGTAATTGTGCACAAAAGGTGTCAATTAATGATGCACTGTCTTATATAAAGGAAGTTAAGGACACATTTCAAGATGAAAGGGAGAAGTATGACATGTTCATTGCTGTTACGAATGACTATAAGAATCAAAGGTTTGCTACTTTTGCTACTGTCATCCTCTTTTATATTCAAATTTGGTAGTTTTTACTTTATGTAAGACTTAGAGTCCGTTTCGCATAAAAAAATTGTAGCATCTTTATTTCCAAAAAATTTTACTTTTTTCGGAATCAGTATTTGCTCATGAAAATTTCAAATTTCACTTGAAGATGAATTTCGGAATTTTTCGAAAATTTAAAAAACTCGAAAAGGTTACTTTTCAAATTTTCACTTCAAATCATTCACAAAATTCAAAAACAACTCCAAATTGTATTCATATTCAAACACAATTCTAATTTTCAAAGATCATTTTCACTTGAATTTTTTTTCGGAATTTCTATGCTTATGTCCAGACGCCCACTTAATTGCACGATTTTGATATTCCTCACAGAATTGATACTTGTGGTGTGATAGCAAGAGTGAAAGACTTGTTTAAAGGGCATCCTGATTTGATCCTTCGATTCAACAATTTCTTGCCCAACGGCTATGAAATAAACCTCACTCAAGCAAATGAGGCTCCTCCAAATAGAAGCATTACGTTTGAAGAAGCTCTCCGCCTTGTGGAGAAAATAAAGGTTACAATTCTCTTGCCTTCTGATTTTTTATAATAAATGTCTGCCCTTTTATCGTTATTAGCCTCTATTCATGTATATCTTATGGTAATTTGTAGAACTTTTTTTTATATAAAATTAATTTAAAGACTTAAAAAACCAAAAGAAAATGTGTTACTTGTTTCTAATCAGAGGCAGATGTAGCTCGCGAGATGTAGCTCTTTCTAACTAAAAGACGTAGCTCTTATAAAATGTTTCTCTGAATTCATAATTTTTAATGCAAGGGGTTTAATGGTAAAAAAATAAAGATTGAACCCATCAAATAAAAATTCTGGATCTGTCTTTGTTTCTAATGCAAACTTATTAGAGTATTGGACTAAAAACTTCAAAACTTTAAAAAGAGATTTACTGCTTTTGTTTCACCCGGGAATAATAAAGTTTTGATTAATTAAAAAAGTATTACATTCCTAGCGTTACCGGAAAATTGAGGTCTTTAATTAATTAAAAATGTTAAACGATGGATAAAAGTAATTAGTGAAATTTTTAAGAGTTAATTATTATTTCAATTTTATCCAACATGAAATGTATGATTATAGATTAAAGTTTAAATCCTAAGTATCAAAAAAAAGAAGAAAAAGGTGCTAACTTGCTGGATTATCACTTCATGCAGAAACGTTTCCAAAATAATAAACATGATTACCAATCCTTCCTAGACATCTTGAAGAGGTACGAGGAGGAGCACACGAGCATAAACGATGTGTACGATGAGGTGATTAAACATTTTAAATTGGATACACATAAATATTACAGATGATTTTCGTGTTTTAGTTTGTTACTAAAGTATTTCTATTATGTGTACGTAGGTTGCCACACTTTTCATTGACCATTCAGATTTGCTTGATGAGTTCAAGGCGGCTTAATACTTTGGGGGCCTAAAGTCGAACATTATTTAGAGGTCTTACGTCTTTTCTTATATTTAAAAATCATATATATTTTTATGTAAAATTTACTTTTTGTTAATTTGTTTGAGATGCAAAGTGATTAATAACTTTTTTGTATCAATTTCTTTTATTAATTCTTTATTAATTGACGATCCAGTCAATCTATTTAATCTTTTTTTGAAGCATTGTTTTAAAGAGCTTCAAATTGAGGTTTTGTTAATGTTTCAATCCCTCTTTCTCTTTTTTAATTTATGTGATTAAGTAATGTCATTGATATTTTCTAGTTAACAAATTTAAATTCTAAAGTAGTATATAATACAAAACCAATATCTATGTTAGGTAAAAATAACAAATGTTAAATTAAAAGAAAAAAAGATAATAGACAATGAAAACAATAAATCATTATTCTAGAAGCTGAATTACTTGATATTAAAATAATTTCATTACTCTAACGCTTAACATCTTGAAAAAAGGTGAAAAAGTATATGCAATTTAATCTAGGCGAAATACCTTAAAAACTCCCTAAACTTGACACGGATTATTAGTTACAACCTTAAACTATTCGTTGTCTTAATTACCCCCCTCAACTTGGCCTTTTGAGAGTCATTACCCCCCTGGACGCTGATTTGGCAAAGAGTGTGGGTGCACTCGCCTGCCACGTGGATTTTTTCTGTATATGTGGCCTTTTTTAAAAAATAAAATATATTTTTACCTTTTTAAGTATGTTACTTCTTTAAATAATTTTTTTCGAATACAATTTATGATAGAACTACATTATTTAGGCTAAAAAATTTTATTTGGCTAAAAATAATTTTGACCTTTGTACCGTCTTTTCTTTCCTTCCATTTTTTTACTTAAGTCTTTCTTTGCTGGTAGCTCGGAGGGCTTCGAGGAGGGCGAGGGCTCCTACTCCTGCTTTTCGCCACTCAAGTACTTCGATCAGGCTTGTACTTGTTGTGGCTGCAAGCGAGCCTACTCAGACTGTTGTTGCCTCTCGGACCCCGGCTTCGCGTGGGCCTAGCCGCAAAACTGCTGCCCCACTAATGGAGATTTCGGCTTCTTCAGTGTTTCTTTTGGTGGATGAGTCGTCGTAGGGCGAAGATGAAGAGGCTTCGCTGAAAAGGCGAAGGATAGAGGTTGACGGCGGAGAGATCGAGGATGAGGAGCCTGCGGGGGTGAAGCCAAGTTGACCACGGCCGGACCGGGGGGCGAAACGGCTTTGGATGCAGAGAACGTGCCTCCTTCAGATGTGGAGATCGCCTCCGTGAAAGGAGGAGAGCGACCAGAGGCGGCTGCGTTCATTCCGACGAGTGATCCGTCAATGTCAGAGCGGGCTGACGTTCCCTCTTCGAATGAGGAGAGGGCGAAAGGAGTGGTCGTAGATGATTACGAATCTGGCTCCAATGTTGATTCCGATGAAGTGAGAATATTCGATGAAGGGTTTACTCGGGTTGAGGTGAGAACGGATGGATCCTCTCGCTCGATCGTAATCCCTTTGGACTGCGATTTGTTGGAGGATACGTGAGCGTGGTCCCTTCCTTTGCCCCTCTTTGCTCCACCGCCGAGAACATGACTATTCAGGCGCTGAAGGATTCTGACTTGTCACTGGGCATATCTGGGATAGCTCTAAGCGTGAGTTTCTTTCCTTATTATTTCTGCATTTCGCATCCTTTTCCTCTTTCTATCTTTGATAATTTTTGGCTTTTTTTTCCGATCTTTTTATTAGACTTTCATTTTGGAGATCGAGAGCGCCCGTCGGGAGGAAAAGCAGAAGATTGTTTTCCAGAAATGGTTTTGAAGTACATCCGTATCGTGACAAGTACCGTGAGATGCGTGCACAGTTCAGAGCAAGCGGCAACCTCCAATCCCTTAGAGATGAGTTGAACCAGAAGGACGACGAGCTTGTGCGAACTATTGGCAGATGCAGTGAGCTTGAGGGGTTGCTTAGGGCCAAGGACGACGAGCTCGAGGTGAGCAAGGGGGCGTGGCCGAGTGCGTCGACCTTCAAGAACAAGTGGCGACCCTGCGAGCCGAGCTTGATCAAAGCTTAATTAGAGTTGCCGGCTTGAGTGGTGAGTTGACTGAGAAAGTGGCAAAGTTGGAGGGGACCGAGGAGGCCCAGGTAGCGACTTTGGCAAAGGTGGCGACATTAGAGGGATATATCCGCGTCCTCAGGTCTGAACATGCAACTGATGCGGAAATGGCCGCGCTAAGGGAGGCGCAACTTGATGAGTGAATTGGTGGGCTCGAGAGAGATGTCTCGAGTCTAGGTGATCAAGTTGTCGCTCTTGAGGCCGAGAAGGCACGATTGTTGGCTCCTCCTCTCATGCTTCTGCTTTCCCCAACATTCCTCGTCATTTATACAAGATGTGGATCCATGCTGAGGCTCAGCTGGATATATATAGAAACTTGATGACGGCGAGGAAAGTTCCTGAGGCCGATTAAGATGCCCATGTTAAAGCACATGACGCCAGGATTGCATGTGGTTATGACCCCGCTACGCGGGGACCAGTGATGATGAAGAGGACTTGGATGGGCTTGCATTTGATGCTTGGTATGACAATGAGAATCCTGATGGCGGGGGCGATGATAGAGATGGTGCTGCTGGACCGGGCGGTGAAGGTAGCGATGGCGAAGGCGGAGATGATGTAGTGTGATGCTTAGTTTTTGTTCTTTTTTTTGTGGGGGCATCTTTTTGGCCCTTTGTAAGATATTTTATTTTTGGAATGTGATGATCATGACTTTTTGCTGTATGTTCTTGCCCCCCTTTACTGTTCTTCGAATGTTTTTCTTCGGAAAAGTCGTGTTGGTACCTGCTATTTTGAACATGGTCGAATATATCTTTGGTTGAACTTGGGTGAAGTTCTATGTCGTACTTAATTCGAACGAAGTTGTAGATCAAACTTAAGTCGGCATGAGTTGAATTCGGGTGTGATCGAATATGAGTTCGAATAGGGTCGAATGTTTAATTAATTCGAACGAGGTCGAATGTTTAATTAATTTGAATGAGGTTGAATGTTTAATTAATTCGAACGAGGTCGAATGTTATTTAATTCATGAATGCGAGTCGATTCGAGCGAGGTCGAATGTTGACTCTTAGTTGATTCGAACAAGGTCGAATGCGAGTCGGTTAAAGCGAGGTCGAATGTTGACTCTTTAGTTTATTCGAACGAGGTCAAATGCGAGTTAATTCGAACGAGGTAGAATGCGAGTTAATTCGAACGAGGTCGAGTGTGAGTCGATTCGAGCGAGGTCGAATGTTGACTCGGTTGATTCGAACGAAGTCGACTGCGAGTTAATTCGAACACGGTTGAATGCGAGTCGATTCGCGCGAGGTCGAATGTTGACTCTTAGTTGATTCGAAAGAAGTCGAATGTGAGTTAATTCGAACGAAATCGGATGCGAGGTAATTTGAACGAGGTCGAATGTGAGTTAATTTGAACGAGGTCGAGTGTGAGTTGACTCGAGTGAGGCCGAATGTTGACTCAGTTGATTCGAACGAAGTCGAATGCGAGTTAATTCGAATGAGGTCGAATGCGAGTTAATTCGAACGAGGTCGAGTGTGAGTTGATTCGAGCGAGTTCGAATGTTGACTTAGTTTATTCGAATGAGGTCGAATGCGAGTTAATTCAAACAAGGTCGAATGTTGACTTTGAGATTGGCGTAATGTATAAATTTGGTTGAGAAATAAGAAACTCGTGTATTTACGTATTTTGCTTTGTTTATACATTCATTGGAGAAGCTTACATGTTTTTGTTCTGTTCATGCATATATTGGAGAAGTCCCAGTCTATCTAGTCCCTTCATTGGTCGACCTGGAGAAGTAGTTGAGAGGTCGAGCGATGAACATATACTTAACTTCAAGATGCCCTCTTCGTTGCCTCAATAAAAACCTCCCAGAGAAAACCCAATTGGGACAAAACTCGGGTGAGGAAAAAATAGTACGACTCGGGGGATGTCTATCCTTAGAAGTTGAAGTATTTGAGGTGGGCAACGTTCCAATTGTTTGGTAGTAGTTTTCCCTCCATTGTTTCTAGCTGGAACGACCCTTTGCTTATTGTCGCCGTGATTTTGTATGGGCTGTCCCAATTGGTTCCTACTTTGCCTTCCCGCGGATCTCTTGCTTGTCTTTTGGCTTTGAGTACATAGTCCCGACTTTGAGTGGCCTGACCTTGGCTTTTTTGTTGTACTACTGCTCTGCCTGTTGTTTTTGGGCTACCATTCTTATGTAGGCCATATCTCTTCGCTCTTCGGCCTCGTCGATGTCTTGCCTTCTACTTTCATCGTTGCTTGGCCCGCTTTTATTTGAATAACTTAGACTTGGTTCACCGACTTTGACCGGTATTACTGCATCAGTCCCATAGACTAGTGAACATGGCATTTCTCCCGTGCTTGTTTTCGGCGTTGTGCGGTATGCCCGTAGCACTTCCGGCAGCACTTCCGGCCACAGTCCCTTGGCATTCTCGAGCTTCTTTTTTATGATGTTCAATATTGATTTGTTGGAGGACTCCTCCCGAGCGTTGCCCACAGGGTGATATGGCGTGGAGAGTATTCTTTTGATGTGCCATTTTTCAAAGAACTCGGCGATCTTTTTCCCAGTGAATTGGGGCCCGTTGTCACAACTGATTTCTTTGGGGATGCCAAAGCGGCATATGATGTTTCTCCATATGAATGTGATTACTTCTTGCTTGCGTATTTGGGCGAATGCACCTGCTTCCACCCACTTAGAGAAATAGCCAGTTAAAACTAAAAGAAATCATACATTACCTCGTCCCGCTGGGAGGGGTCCGACGATCTCCATTCCCCATTTGATAAAAGGCCGGGGCGAGGTGACTGAGAGGAGGTGCTCGCCCGCTTGGTGAATCATGGGGGCATATTTTTGGCATTGTTCGCATTTTCTTATAAAGTCGGCGACCTCCTTTTTCATCTGGGCCAGTAGTAGCCTCCTCGTATGAGGCATCTAACAAGAGCTCGATTGCAGGTATAAGCTCCGCAGTGACCTTCGTGTACTTCTTCGAGGACGCGCCGCGTTTGGTTTGGTCCTAAGCACTTTGCTAAGGGGCTGCCAAATGTTCTTTTGTACAAGTCGTTGTTGATGACGTTGTACCTGGCCGGCTCGAAGCTTCTTGGCTTCTGTTTTATCGGATGCGAGCACTCTGCCCTGCAAATATGAGATAATACAATTGCACCAGTACCAAGTCAAGTTTATAGTTCGTACCTCGATTTGATCTATCGATGAATGGAGGAGGGTGACCATGTCCCCCTCTCCGGTTATGCTTTTGATGGCCGCTGCCAGTTTAGCGAGGCCGTCCACTTCGATGTTCAGCGCTCGGGGTATTTGATCGAACTGGCATTCATCGAACTCGGGTAATAGTTTGCAAATTTTGGCCTGGTATTTTCGTAGCCGTTGCTCCTTGATTTGGAAAGTCCCTATGACTTGGTTGACGACGAGTTGCTAGTCACATCTCAGGATTACTCATCGTGCTCCATACTTGGGTGCCAGTTTTAACCCTGCAATCACGACCTCATACTCGACTTCATTGTTAGTCATATCAGGGCATCATAATGACTGGAAAACTACTTTGCCTGTTGGGACTTCGAGCACGAGTCCCAATCCATATCCCGACGCGTTAGACGCACCATTGGTGTACAGAACCCATTGGGCGTGCAATTTGGTGAAAGTACTGGCGGTTTTCTTTTCGACTTCGGGCATTATCTTCGCACTGAAGTCGGCGATGAAGTTGGCTAGAACTTGCGACTTCATCGCCGTTCGCGACTGATAGGTTCTATCGTGCTCGCTTAGCTCTATGGCCCACTTAGCCAATCTGCCCGACAGTTTGAGTTTGTGCAGGATACTCCTTAGAGGGAAAGTTGTGACCACCGAGATGGGGTGGCACTGGAAATAGGGTCTAAGCTTTCGTGAAGCTATGACCAAGGCCAGAGCAAGCTTCTCGAGGTGGGGTACCTCGTTTCAGCATCGACCAATGTTTTGCTAATGTAATAGATTGGAGACTGCATACCTTTATTTTCTCGTACCAGGACTGCACTTACTGCAACGTCGGACACGGCCAGGTAGACAAGGAGGCGCTCTCCGGGTTCTGCCTTATCGAGCAACGGTAGCGAAGACAGGTAGGCTTTTAGTTCTTTCAAGGCATCGACGAACTCAGAATTCCATTGGAGTCCGTTATCCTTTTTGAGTACACCGAAAAATTTATGGCACCTATCGGAGGACCGTGAGATGAATCTCAGCAGGGCGGCTATCCAGCTGGTTAGATTTTGCACTTGTTTCTTGCTAGTTAAATTTTCTGGGATTCCTTCTATGGCCTTGATTTGGTCGGGATTGACCTCGATGCCTCGTTGTGATACCAAGAAGCCAAGGAATTTTCCAGAGGTTACGCCGAAGACGTATTTTTCGGGGTACAGTTTCATGTCGTACCTTCTGAGTATGTCGAAGGCTTCCTTCAAGTGGTCGATGTGGTCTTCCTTCGTTTTTGACTTGACCAACATTTCGTCTATATATACTTTCATGGTCTTGCCGAGTTGATCTTTGAACATTTTGGTCACTAGCCTCTGATACGTCGCCCCTGCGTTTTTCAAATTGAACTGTGTCACCTTGTAGCAGTATGTCCCATAATGGGTGATGAAAGTGGTTTTTCCCTAGTCCTTCTCCTCCATGAGGATTTGGTTGTAGCCCGAGTAGGCGTCCAAAAATCTCAACAGTTATGTCCGGCTATAGCGTCGATAAGTTGGTCAATATGGGGCTGCGAGAATGAATCTTTTGGGCAGGCTTTGTTCAGATCTGTGAAGTCCACGCATATCCGCCACTTCCCGTTCTTCTTTTTCACCATGACCATATTGGTGACCCACTGGGGGTACTTCGATTCCCTTATAGAACCGTTCACTAACAATTTTTGGACCTCTTCGCGGACCGCGTCATTTATTGTAGAGTTGAACTTTCGTCTAATTTGCCTCACTGGGGGGTAAAACGAGTCGACGTTCAACTTGTGAGTTTCTATCTCCTTCGGGATACCCGGCATGTCTGCATGGGAAAAAGCGAACAAGTCTACATTACTTTTTAAAAACTGGTGAAATTTACCTGGATCTTGGAGCTTATGGCCGATGAAAGCTTTCTTGTTGTGGTCGTCATCGTCTGGTTGGACGGGGTCGAGGTCCTCTATGGTCGACCTTGTGGCTTCTACGATTTTGGGGTCGCTGATAACGTCTTTCCTCTCATTGCCATCTGACCCCGACTTCGTTAATTTCTATGCCTCCTCGGCCTTTCCTATTAATTGTCGGGTGTATGTGCAGTCTTGAGCGATGCGGCAGAATTCTCGGGCCGTGCGTTGCTCTCTTCAGATGCAGAATACTCCCATGGGGTGGGAAATTTATTGACTTGGTATAAGCTGGAGGGGACGACTTTCATGGCGTGTATCCACGGTCGGCCTATGATGGCATTGTACGTCGTATCCTGGTCCATGATGTGCAACGTGGTCTCCAAAGTGATGCCTCCGGCCAAAACGGGCAGCGTGATTTCTCCAGATGTCCGTTCAACTACATTGTTAAATCCTATTAGCATGATGCAACGTGGCAGTATCTTGTCCTCGAGCTTTATTTGGGTGAGAACTCGAGGATAGATGATGCACGCGCCGCTTCCATCATCGACCACAATACATTTTGCATCAGTATCAAAGAAACGTAAAGTAATGACAAGAGCGTCATAGTGAGGAAGGACCAAACCGTGGGTATCTGACTTATCAAAGATGATACTTTCTTCGAGTTCGTCATACCGTTCGTGGGTGATGGACCGTTTGAGTTTGTGGGTTGTAGTGAACTTTATGCTGTTGAAAGATGCGTCGTCGCCTCCTCCGATGATCATTTGAGTGGTCCGAACTAGGGAAGGTGGTTTGGGCGGTCCCTAGTGTTGTTCCCTCCCTCGGGCAAAGTTGGCCCTCCCACGATCACTCATCAACTCTTTTAAGTTCCCTTGGTGAAGCATGTTCACGACCTCCTGTCTTAGGGCAATACAATCTTCTGTTTTATGACCCCTCTCCTGGTGGAATTCGTAGAGGGCATTTGACTTTCTGGTGCTCGGGTCAGATCTCATCTTCTGTGGCCATTTCACTTTTGGGCCGAGCTTCTCCAATGCGTAGACTATTTATAAGGGGGAAACATAGAAATTGTGAGCAGATAATAAAGGGGGCATACCTCTCTCATTTCGGCGGATTCACGTTCGCGGCTTGGATGGACCTTCATCGTGGCGTGGAGGTTGCATGAGGGTGCCTCTGACGTAAGGCTGATGTCTCTCTCGATTAGGTCGGGTTCCCGCTAGATATCTCCTATTGTCGTTTCTCCGGTCTTTCCTTGACTCCATTTGGACCAAGGTCAACGTTGGGTAGGTCCGTTGAGATCGTCCGCATCGGCTCTTACCACGGCACAGTAGGCGTTTTGTATCTCGTTCCAAGTGGTTGTAGGATATTTCATGAGTTGGCTTAGCAACTTTTTGGTCGCTCTCGACCCACTTCTGCTTAGACCATTCTGGAAAGGGGCTACCGCCATCCCCTCAGATATATTTGGAAGGGTCATTCTTACACGGTTGAACCGGGCGAGGAAGTCCCTGAGTCCTTTGACAGGCGATAGGTTAATGGCGAATATGTCATTCACCCTTGCCTTTTTTTTCTTGGCCCTGGCATGGGCGGTGACGAACTTGTTTGCCATTCCTCGAACGTTCCTATGGAGCGTGCAAGTAACTGCGAGTACCAAGTTAGTGCTCCCCCGGTTAGGGTTTCTCCAAACTTCTTCAGCAATATGGATGACACTTGTTCTTTTTCGAGGTCATTGCCTTTTACTGCAGTGACATAGTGGGTCATATGATCCACCGGGTCCGACGTTCCATCGTATATCTTTAAGTACGGCGGCATTTTGAAGGTCTTTGGTATGGCGTGCGGTGCAGCCTCGTCGCTATATGGTTGCTCAACGAAGCGACCGACGTCTCTTTTTGGCAGAAGTTTTGGGGCGCTGGCATTTTTTCTACCCTTTTTTGGTGCTCTTTCATCTAGCTACGGAGCATTTTGTTCTCGTTCTCCATCTCCTCCATTTTCCTCAAAATGGCTGTGAGGGTGTCATTAGCTGCATCTAACATAGTGAGTAATACTTGATGCAGGGGAGGGGGGGGGGGGGGTCGTGCGGTTCCTCAGCTAGTGATGTGACATCAGCCCTTGTCTCTTCCCTACTCGACCTCCGAGCGGGCTTGTCGAGAAACCAGTTAGCGTGTTTATCAACCATGCCTCAAGTAACTTTTTCACTGCTGGTGGTGCCTCTTCTGTCGTGGATGTAGAGGCACCCTTACCGTGCGAGGTCGTGACGCTTCCGAGAGATGGAGGCAAGTTGTTTCGTCTGGGAGAGGTGTTTGGTGTTATGTCTTCGTCCTCCGTTTTGTCCATTTCATTAATGGTGTAGAGGAGACTGGTGGTGAGGTCGGCTATCGCCTTCCTCTTTTCCTCTCCGTTGCCTGCCATGTCAGATTTGTGCAAACAAAGAAATACGGGATTTTGCAAAGTTTTGTGCGTGTTTTTTTGTTAAATCTAGAAGAAACTAAAATTTTAACTAGAAATTCTCCACAGACGGCGACAAATTGTTTGATAAAAAAGTGTTAAGCCTTTTTGTTAAACTAATTACATAAGATGATAATAGGTTAATCCTAGTTAAATATAATAAATCTTAGATATGATATTAATAGACATCGATAGCGTAAAATTGCTTTCAAGGCTATTTAATACCAAGTGGTGATCAGTGGTATTGTTATGAATGTATGAGGGAATAATGACAAGCAATAAATATGATAAATGGCAGTAAGTGTAAATAGAGAGAATGATTCACCCAAATATTCAAGAGGTGGATGATTCTCTCTCTGACAATGATGTAAGGCAATCAAACGTGGGAATATAGAAAGCTTTCTCGGATCTGATGTGAGAAAGCTTGGGACCAACAACAAATCGAATCTTTTGTAAAGACAATGTTTGTAGTTTTCTTGAGAGATAACTTTTCAAGAGAGAGCTTATTGTATGGAATATTACATGCTCCTTTATTCTTTCTCTTCCTACTTATATGGGTCATATCCCTTATCTAACTGAAAGTACAAGTGCAGAGAATACTTTGTAGAATATTCCTTTAAAATATCTTATTACTAAACTAGCCGCTTGGGCCGATTTGAGTGCTCGACCTCGACCATAACTGCTCACTTCGCCAATATTTTACTTCTTAAGCATGACCTTGGCCTAATCAGCTCTTAGTTATCCTCTCTTAGACATGATTCCTTTGATCAGATTTGGCCCATACAACTATATTACCCCCCAAGTTTGACCTAATAGACAACAACCATGTAGGCCGAGGAAAAGGGCCTTATCATCTTAGTAAAGTAACAAGATCTAAAAAGGTATAGAAAACGATAAAGAACAATGATACTTTCTATTGATCCAATATAAATATAGATTAATTCCTCTTCCCGTTATTAGAGAATAAGATTCTTATTTATTTGTAAAACTTGTTTTTGCTATCCTATTTTTTGAAGCACGATTAAGAGTCGATTTACATGGTAACACTCAATTTAAGCGGCCATTTGGTTCTTCCCGTGGAGAATCGTAGGCTCTTTTCCTTTTGTTTACTTTCTTTGTCTCCAGTGATATTTATATACATGATCAGTTATTTTGATTTGTTGAATTCTTTATAATTCTAAGTACTATATCAGTGACCTTAGCTGCTATATGGTGTGTGATTTTGAGATCACAAATTGTTAGATGCCATTTTCCCGCTATAATTAGCAACATATATAGAAAATGTTGATTTTTACCCATGCTGCATATGTTTGGATATAATTTAGTTTGCTTGTTTGTTTTCGTGTTAATTCGTTTTTAGTGTAAAGGCAAAAACTTAGCAACATGAGCACACTTATTTGGTTTTACGTTTAGCCAAACTAAGCAAAATGGATGAGAATTCTTTGTAATTCAAAACACTTTTTTACCAAGTTAAAACTAATATATGCATTTTACCTATTTTAGTGGGATTTTGATTTCAAAACACGATCCCACTTTTAAAGGAAGTAAGTTTAGGATTTTAAGAAACTGGTATACTATTAAATAAAAAGTTAAATAATTATACGTAATAAAAATAAAGTTGAAATATAGCGGGTTGTAACTTAAAAATCATTGGTATTTGGTGAAAATATATACTTTAGAACTTGTGTACCGGCCAAGTTACTCTCGCCTTCCAGTGTATGACGAACAAAGAACATAGTGTTGAAAAACCAAATGCAGATGCGTCAAATTTATTTCACAACAACAATGACAAAATCATTTTTAAAGAGCATAATAAAATAAGATATCACTATTGATCTCAAGCTTAAATATACAACGAGCGTCTTAGTAGGTTGGCAACAATTTTAAAGTTAAACAAATTTATGATCAATCCTCACCATATGTAACATGTTGTGACGTGCTCACCTTGGCACATGAACGCCAGTAATAGAGCCTAAATTAAGCGATATTGACTGACTCCCTTAGCAAAGACGTCTTACTAAAACTCGTGGCCTAAACCAAATTTTAATAAGATGCCTTAATTTTTATTTTTTTTGTCTATGGTATAGTTATCTTGCAAAATATAGTATTAATATTACACTGATTTCTTTTTTTCTTTCTTTATCTTACAAAATATAATATTAGTATTCACATTGGTAAGAAAATTCAAGTTAATAAGATGTTAGCCACGTATTTACAATTCGTTACCTTTGATCTTATTGTAAAAACGTTATTTATCAATATGAAAATTTGAGTATCTTAATTCAAAGCTCTAAAATATTTCTTAAAGATTTGTTAAAAATAGACAGTCTTTCTTTCCATTTTTATAAGGATTTTGTACCTTTTTCCCCCTTTTTCTATAAATTTTAATATTGTCTAAGCGAAAATAAGATAGTAAATTCACAACTAAAAATATTTTTGGGGCCCCAAAATTTAGGCGGGTAAGAGGGCCTTATCCTCGTAGTAAAAAGTAAAAAGTTAAATAATACACGTTACAAAAGATATACATATAGAAGGAAAGAATCTTACGAATCTCCAACAATATATGGTCACGTTACACATCATTTTCTTCGTAGTTCTCCAACGTTATGGAGGGTTAGAAAACAAAAGGTATAGAAAACCATAGAGAACAATGATACTTCCTCAATATAAATTTAGATCGTTATTAGAGAATAAAATTCTTATATATTTGTAAAACTTGTTTTTGCTGTCTTAATTTTGCAGCATGACTCAATTGAAGCGGCCATTTGATTCTTCCCACGAACAATCGTAAGCTCTTTTCCTTTTCACTTTCTCTGTCTCCAGTGATATTTATGTACCCAAGTTTTTTGATTTGGTGAATTCCTTGTACTTTTAACTACTATATAAGTTTTTAGTTGCTATATGGTGTGTATTTTGTGATCACAAATTGCTAGATGCCATTTTATGCCATATTTAGCATCATATTATAGAACCCATGCTGCATTTGTTTGGGTATAGTCTAGTTTGTTTTTTTGTTTTCGTGTTAACTCATTTTTAGGGTACAGCTAAAAAACTTAGCATATTTAGCCAATAATATGGTCAATTATTCGACTTGTTATCTTCTATCAGCATAGATATCGTGTAACTCTCTCCACCAAGTTTTAGTCGCATGAGAAGAAATAAGCCCATTTTTTTATTCTTCCCATGGAGAATCGTAACCTCTTTTCCTTTTCACTTTCTCTGTCTCCTTTTTTGATTTGGTAAATTATTTGTAATTTTAACTACTATATAGAGAGTTTCAATTTTGTGATCACAAATTGCTAGATGCCATTTTATGCCATATTTAACATCATAAATAGAAAATGTTATTTGTACCCATGCTGCGTTTGTTTGGGTATAGTCTAGTTTGTATTTTTGTTTTCATGCTAACTCACTTGCTTCCATTTAATGAAGGGTTTTACCAATTCTCAATAAACTATTCAAAGCTGTTATGCTTAGCCCAAACTAAGCAAAATGGATGAGAATGTAACTTAACCCTATCAAGGAGTATATGGTTGGGGAAGTCAACGCCAATAATATGGTCAATTATTCGACTTTAGCCGCATAAGAAGAAATAAGCCCACTTTTTTTTTTTTTTTTTTTTTTTTTTTTTTTTTTTTTTTGGTCTTACGAGAGTTTGAGCCCTAATCTCCCAATTTAATCCACTTCATGGACTGTTAGACCATACCTTATGTTTCTGAGTGGCTATTTATGATTGTGGTTTGGATGTATAATGTTTGTTTATTACTCTCTCCGATGAATTAGCTTTGATCAATCCCAAGTTCTTGGAAGTGGTTTGGGCGGAGGAGAAGGTGGCAACAGCGCAGGTGGAGGTGGAGCAGGTGCTAGTGCTAGTACCCAAAAGTTGACAGCTAAAGATGCGTGGTCTTATTTGAAGGAGGTCAAGGAGGAGATGTTTCAAGACCAAAGGGATAAGTACGACTTGTTCCTTGATGTTATAAAAGACTTTAAGGCTCGAAGGTTTGCTACTTTACCAAGTCTCATCCTTGTTTTTATGGCGCAATATTTTTGGGCTACTTAAACTTGAATCGAATTTAAAGCCGATAAATAAATTTTTGATTTTTCCATTTTAGCATACCCTAACTCGATAAAAATACTTATAATAAATCCCTCCCTCGGAGCATTATTTCAATTGCCTGACATAAATACCACGTCAGATACTAAGACCATTTATTTTTTGACATTTGTAATATCTGGTTCCCGTCCTTTTTAAAACCAATTTACCGAATTTTTAATTTTTGTTCTCTTTCATTTCTTCTCCACCATAGCTCCACCAAAACCTTCCCTGGCCCAACCACTATTTCCAATAGTAAAATTCAAATATGATCCATTCATATCCTAATACATACCTTAACAAACCTCAGTCTAGAAATTAGTCCAAATAAGCCATCAGATCTTCTCAAAAAAAAATCAAAACCATTCCGACAAGATTTTCATCTAAAAAATGGCATCTCGGCGACACTTGTCAAAATCAAAACTAACAGACCTCCTTGAGAACCTATTACTTCCCACACCTGAAAGTTTTCATTAATTTCGTAGTCTCAACCGGCCAAAGAAGATCGTCGGAACACTGTTACCACCATACTTTTATCGTCAACTGCTGATTCGTCTGTGGAGACCAACCACGTAGTCTCAACCGGCCAAAGAAGATCGTCGGAACATTGTCACCGGCATACTTTTATCGTCAACTGATGATTCGTTTGTGGAGACCAACCAAAATGATTCGTCTGTGGCCGGCCAAAGGATTGTTCAAAGTTGCAATGAAGAGGGGGGGGGGGGATGATTTAGGATTTAGTATGTTTTTATTTTTTATTTTTTTGTCTTTTATTTACTTTTCCTTTTTCTTATTCAGATTTAATATGTGTGATTAGCACACACTTTGACCACGTCAGTTGCGCTACTGCCACATAAGTATAGTCAACGGTTAGAGGTGTTCACTTATAAGTAATCGGTTGAGTTGAGGTATTAAAAAGGGAAAATCAAAAGCTCATGTATCGGCTTTAAAATCCGATGCAAGTTCAAGTGACCCAGAAGCCATTACGCCTTGTTTTTATGATTTGGTTATTTATGTGGGATTTATTGCATAAGTCTGTGATATTCCTCACAGAATTGATACTGCGGGTGTGATAGCAAGAGTGAAAGACTTGTTTAAAGAGCATCCTAAATTGATCCTTGGATTCAACACTTTCTTGCCCAAGGGCTATGAAATAACCCTCAATGAAAAAGACGAGCCTCCTCCAAAGAGAACTGTTGAGTTTGAAGAAGCAATCAGCTTTGTGAACAAAACAAGGGTAACATTCAGTTACCTTCTGATTTTAACGATAATGGTCTGGCCTTTTTCTTCTTTATAAAACTTTAGTCCTAACTTTTTGGGTTATCATTTCCCGCAGAAACGTTTCCAAAATGATGATCATGTGTACAAGTCCTTCCTAGACATTTTGAACATGTATAGGAAGGAGCACAAGGGCATCAGCGAGGTGTACCTTGAGGTGATAAAACATTTTTAATTTGTCTACATAGATATTGTAAACGAACTTCATGTTTTAGTTTGTTATATTTTTTTAATGTGTAGGTTGCCGTACTTTTTGTGGACCATCCAGATTTGCTAGATGAGTTTACTAAATTTTTGCCAGATACTTCAGCTACTGCAACAGCAACGCAAACTGATAAAAAGAAATCTTATGTGAAGGTTGAAGAATTTGGAGGACCACATGAAGATAAAGATGTCCTGATTGTATGAATATATGTATTCATTAGCTCTATGGTTAGTGGTGAAACTTATTTGAGGGCCGTCTTTTAGTTATGTGCTAATTCATGGTGTATTAGACGCGCTCTTTTATAAAGGATGAGTATTTAGTACTAACTTTCGCAGTTTCATTCCAGGTAATTTCAATTCGTCGTGTATATTTTTGGTTTTCTTGATTTATGCATTTGTTTCTGGCATAGTGTTTCTAAGTTTGTTATTAACCTTTTTATATAATTTGCTTGATTTTGCCAGATATGTATTGCCAAGAGTTCTCTTTCTGTGAAAAGGTAAAGGAAAGACTACAAAGTCCAGCTGATTATCAGGCATTCTTAAAATGTCTCCATCTTTATAGCACAGAAATAATTTCAAGGAATGAGTTACAAAGTTTGGTACGTTTATCATACAATTAATCTATCCTTTTTTCTCTTCTGTGACTTTAGTTTTTGTTTGCTAGCTATCGTTTGCTTGGGTTCTGTTAGCTCTATCTATAGGGAGAAGTTTTATTGTGTGTCTCACACAATTTACATTAGTTGTGTGGTGCTCCTTTTTCTCTCACAAATTTGTGGACCCCAAATCTTACACTTTTGGGTCCACAAAACCGTGAGACAAAAAAGATGACACAAAATAAAATTTTCCATCTGTAGGCAGGGGCAGATGCACTGTGGTAATTATGGGTTCAATTGGACCCATATCTTTCGGTGCGGGGTAAAAATTTATGTGTAAAAATTCATTAAAATTACAAAAATAATAGATATGAACCTATAACTTTAAGAATATAATAGGTTCAATGATAAATTTTTGTAAAGTTGAACCAATAGAGTTTAAATTCTGGATCCGCCTCTGTCTGTAGGTAGTATTAGTTGATAGAGCCATTTATGCTAAACATATCCTCTCTTTTTACCGACAAAAGAGAGAAACTAGATCCACCTCAAAGAAGAGGTGAATCCTATAGGTGTTAATCGAGCCGGGCTAACCCGCTTCAACCCGGGTTAGCCCGGTTCAGCCCGTTACTGTAGCTTAATGTGCGGGCAGGGACGGGTTGGTCGGGGGGCGAGTTTTCGACGAACATATTTTGGATAACGGTGCACCGTACCTGCTAAGCCCGTTACCCGTTAACGGGTTGTTAACGGGCTGCAGCCCGTTCGGTTACCGTTACAAATTTTTTTTTTAATTATTTGGACCGTTGATTTAATTAAAAAAACAAAAAAAAATTACACTAGCCCAGCCCGCCCGAACCCGAACGGGCCCACAATAACCCGAAAATTCCCAACCCGCTACCAACCCGTTATCCCAGCCCGCTAACCAACCCGGTCCAATAACGGACGGGCTGATTTTTTTTTGTTCAACCTGTCCCAGCCCGCCCGATAAATACCCGTAGTGGATCCTGGCTTTACATGATTTGTCGTACTAATCAGATGCGGATCTAGGATTTCTAGAACATGGGTACACCACAAAAGAAATGGAGGAAAAAAGTGTAAAGTGGGAATTGATCCTTGTTTCTATGAGTAAATAATTAAGTATTGAACCAAGTAGACCATTCAACCTTTATGGAGCATGGGTGCCAATACATAATATTGGACCAATTCTAGAAAATACATATATAAAATACCTAATTTGACGAAGGGACCATGGGTTCACGTGCCCCATAATTGAGGCTATCGATCCGCCCCTGGTACTAATGCCTTTGAAACGAATATACAAGTCGGTGTGGTTGTTGTTTAAGCATCATAAATTTGAAGGCATGCTCATTTCAGGTTGCTGATCTACTTGGAAAATATCATGATCTTATGGAGGGCTTCAATGAATTTCTAGAGCGTTGTGAACGATTTGGTAAGTCTGGCTCTTTTTTATGAGTGAATGAACGATTTGCTAGATGAGTTCACTATATTCTTTTCCAGATTCTTAAGCTACTGCATCAGCAGCACAAACAATGATGAAGTTGCATCAAGGAACTCATGATCAGGATTATAAAGAACCTGATAATGAGAACAATGGAGATCTAAGCATGCAGTGTTATACTGATAAAAAGAACTCTGCTGTGAAGATTGAAGAATTTGGAGGACCTAATGAAAATAAAGATGCCCTGAAAAGTGAGTGCAATTAGCATTTTCTGAATATTTGTATTTGATGTGCTGCATTAGAATCTTCCTCCATTAGCGCTCACTACAAAAAAAAATGGAATTAGCTACAAACTTCATCACTTATCTGTCGCTAAATTGCTCGTAACTAACAGAATTTTTCGATAATTTGTCGTTAATCCGTCATTAAATAGAATTCGCAACGAATTTTATTGTTTTGCTACAGAATTTGTTTGTCGCTAATTCCTGTTTTTTTAGTAGTAGTGCGCTATGGTTAGTGATGACATTGATTTGAAGGCCATCTTTTAGTTATGTGTTAATTCATGGTGAATTACAAGCGCTCGTTTTCAACCTCCAGTCATGCATTGAAACCTAAAGGACATGAGTACTAATGTTCTCAGGTCTTTATTTATTTATTTATTAATTTATTTTTGATAAGCATAGTGTTTAGGCTAGCTTGCGCGCCATCTCGACTAATTCCACGAGTATCTGCTACCTCCCACCAACAACAGGTAGCGGGTAACTCTGTCCACCAAGGCTTGAACAAATAAAAAAAATCCTAGTGTTCTTTCACTCTTTTGTCTCCATTGGGATATGAACCTGAGACCTCATGGTTCTTTAACTCATTTCATTGACCATTTACAGGCAGTTTCAATTCGTTGTTTCGTTTTTGGTGTTCTTGATGTATGCACTTGTTTCCCGCGTATTGTTGCTGAGTATGATTATTAACTTTTTTATATAATTTGCTTGATGTCCCAGATAAGTATAGCCAAGAATTCACTTTCTGTGAAAAGGTAAAGGAAAGACTACAAAGTCCAGTTGATTATCAGGCATTCTTAAAATGTCTCCATCTTTATAGCACAGAAGTAATTTCAAGGAAGGAGTTACAAAGTTTGGTACGTTTATCAATCAATCAATCTATCATTTTTTCTCTTATGTGACTGTAGTTTTTGTTTATAATTTTTGCTAGCTATGGTTCTGCTGATGCTGCAAAATGGTTCTGATGGTATACCGTCGGGATAGAGCCATTATGCTAAACATGTCCTTGTTTGACCAAAAGTGTTAAACTTTTTGTTAAACTAATAAATGAGGAAATAAATGATGAATCCTAGCTAAAAATAATATCTAGATCTAAGATTGAAAGAGACCAGAGGAATGAGACCGTGTTCAAGAGCAATAAATATCAAGTATATGTTTAATGATTGCCAATGAATATAGTAGTAAAAGCATGCAATATGTGTAAATAATGACAATAAACGTAATAAGGAGGAATTTATCACCCAAATGTTAGATGACTTGGGTGATTCTTCTCCCTAACATCAACGTGGAATAATGGAAAGTAAGGATGGATATGGAATCTTTGGATCTCGTCAACAAAGAGAGAACAAGACAAGCTTTTGTATATTCTTTATAGTTAACCCTTTACAATGTGCTCTTATCAAAAAATTGAAGATCCCCCCTCTGTTCTTTATCTCTTCCTATTTATAAGGGATATCCCTGATAAGACGACTCCTCGTCGTTGCTTCCTTGCTTCCTTTACTTGACCTCGGCAATAATCCCTGATAAGACGACTCCTCGCCATTGTGCTGTGGTCGGCTATGCCCTCGACCATGTTTATTTGCAATTATCAAGCTGCCCAAATTTGGACCAATACAGTTAGTCCCTCCGCTTGTTGAGGTCGTGATCTTGGACGTCCTCGATGAGCGGATCCGATCTGTAACCGTTAAGAATTTTGGCTGCATCAAATCGGCCGAGGTGGAGAGAACGGCGTGGCCAGCAGGGCTGCGGTTGGCGCGACTAATGTGGGGTGACGTCATGGCCACGCGCATCATCATTACGCGTCTTCCCAACAATGTAGTATTTGTGCTTCTGTTGCTTCGGTTTTGGTGCCATTGACGGTCCTTTGCCTCGATTCTGGTGTTACCCAACCCTATAAATAGATGTGGGGGGGGGGGGGGTTCATTTTCGAAACTTTTTAGCATCTCTCATTTCGCATGTGTATTGTTCTTCTTTAATTTTCTCTCCGATCTCCGCTTTCAATTTCTTGCAGCTTCTTCAACTCCAGTCCCTGACTTCTTACCCAGTTGATACCTTCTTCTTCAGACTTTGTTCCATGCGTTTCACTACGGAAATATGTCAGAATCCCCTCATATTCACGACGAAGTCTCCGACGCCACTCCTTTATCGGTGGCCCTTCCTCTCAACGGTGAGGAATTCGTGGTTGAAGAGGAGAAAAGCTTCCCCACCGCGGAGGAGGTAGTCCCTAAGAACCCTTTGATCAGACATTACATCCCAAAGGAACCTCCTCCCGATCCTGCTCAGAAGCTTTCTGAGACGGGATCGCCTCAGATAGCCGACCTCCGATCTAAGTATCGCATTCCTCCTCATGTCGAAATTGTTCCGGCCGGGGGCGATATAGTACAGGTTCACCGACCCAGATATTGTGCTTTTGACGTTTATCAGTTCTTGATTGGTTATTCTCTTCCTCTCCCCATTAGCGGAGGAGTTTTGCCGATCTTACAACGTCCGCCCGGCGCAACTCTCTCCTTATTTGTACAAAGTTTTACTGATGCTGGCGAAGTACGCATAGTTGGCCGGCTGCGAGGTCAACGTTCGCAACCTACTGCATCTATTTTTGCCCAGCTTTTATAGAGGTACATTGATACACTTGTGGCATCGTGGGATCAAAGGGTTGGTGGCCAGGATGGATGATAAGACGAACTGACGGTTCTGGCATAAGTACTTCTTCATCAAGATCGAGCACCTGGTGGCGAATCCGACCGGGTTTCCCAAGCAATGAACTACAATCGTAAGTATTTTGCCCTATGCTCGTTATTTTCTTTCTTTCATTTTCGACTCACTCGCGGCTTCCTTGTTTTCATCTGAAAGGCGTGCATCTTCTCCCGTCTTGATATCGAAGATTGGGTGGCTCGCGTGTTACCCCACACCGTGGGAATTCGTGACTAGGCGTCCTTTCACAAGCGTTTTGGGCCTAAGAACCCGTCCAGTAAGTGTTATTTCTACCTCTTAACTTATTGCTGTTTACTATCGCTTTTTGATGCGACCTCTCTTTGGTGCCAGGTCGGCGAGTTTCCAAAAAAGCGAAGGCCCCAGTGCCTGCATTTCGCCAAGCGGTCGCGTCGGCTAGAATGCAATTTGCCTTAGCTAAATCTGCTCGAGGAGGTCGGACTCAAGTTCCGCCAATGAGGGATTCTGCCCCTCAAATTGTTGTCGTGCGGGATGAGAAATCTTCTCGGTCTATCTTTCACCTTGTAGACAAGTTATCTAATGATGAGGAGACATCGTCGAGGAAAAGACGAAACGTTGAGCTGGAAAGATTCATTACTTTTGAAGCGGGGTCTGTGCTTACACCAAACATCGAGGCCGTTTCTACGGCGGGTGTCTTCATGGAGAGGAGACCCTCTGGAGTTGAGGGGGTTCGCGGTAACGGAGAGCTTAAATAGGCCGTGGAAGGTGGCTCATCATCGGCGGCCGGGAGAAGTAGAGTTTTCCCTGCAGGGGACGACGATTCTGGTTCAGACAACGACCCTGAGGAGGTAACCTTCATAGAGAGGACTACTCGCGTGGAGATAAGGACGGAGGGTCCTAATCGGCATATAGTTATTCCCGTGGACTACGACCTTTTGGCCAACTCGAAACGGGCGGTGCCGGCCTTTGCTCCCCTGTACGCGGCTTCCGAGAATACGACGCTACAGTTGATGAAAGATGCGGATCTGTTGTTGGGTATATCTCGCATGGCCCTGCGAGTGAGTGTTTTTCCATGTTAGGTTAAGTTCTTTTCGTTTGTGTAATATGCTTACACTGACTTCTCTCTCTTTTTTTTGCATGTCAAGACTCTTATTATGGGGATTGAGCTTGACCGGCGAGAAGAGTGGAGGACGGCCATTTTTAAGAAGGTGATCTCTAAGTACAAGGAGTACCGTACCAAGCACCGAACGCTGCCGACTTACTCAGCCAGGATGGTGAGTTTCAGTCGCTTCGTGATGGGCTCAAACAGAAGGACGATGAGCTGACGTAGAAAGATAAAGAGCTAAGGGAGAGGGACGATGAGCTTATGAGGGCCATCAGTAGGTGCAGCGAGCTTGAGGCGGCGCTAAAGACCAAGGAGGACGAGCTCGAGATAAGTAAGGGGGTGATGGCTGAGAACGCTGACCTTCAGGCGCAGTTGGAGTCCTTAACGATTGAACTCGGGCAGATGGAGGCAAGGGCTGTCGACCTGAGGGATGAGTTGAGTGCCAAGATCGAAGAATTGGGTCGGGCCAAGAAGGGCAGAATGGCCGCTACGGCTGAAGCGACGGCCCTAGATGACGCCCTCCGTGTTTGCAGGTCCGAGCGAGCTAACAATGTGGAGACGTTGGCGCTCAAGGTGGCGCGGTTGGTAGAACGGATCCAGGGTTTGGAGGCGGAGTTGTCCGAGTTAAACAAGCAAGTCGTTCTCTTGAGGGCCGAGGAGACACGACGGCAGGCACAACCGTCTACATCTCATATTTCTGTCGATCCCGGTGTGCCGAGGGAGTTGTATGAGATGTGGGTCCATGCCGAGGCTCAACTTGATGTGTAAAAGTCTTTGAAGGTTGTCGGGAAAGTTTCCTTAAAGCTTGTGGTTACGACCCTGGTACACCTGGCGGGATGAGGATGACGACGCCGCAGATAGGCTTGCCTCTGATCCCTAGTATGATGATGAGTACGCCGATGGGGATGATGTGGCGTGATGTACTTAGTTTCTTTTTTTTTCTTTGCTATTTTTGTGAGGGAGTTCTCGAGCCCTTTGTAAAAAGTATTGTAATCCGACAGTTGAAATAGAACAATTGCCTTTTTGCTATGTATTTTTGGATTCTTGTTCTTTTTTCTCCTTTTTTTTCCATGTGGGGAAGTCCCTAATTTTTCAACCATTTGTATATGATTGATATTGGCTGAGTCGAATATAGATCGACTTGAGGCCGAGTATTAATTAGCTCGAACGAAATCGAGGTTTGATGAGGTCGAAAATCAAATAATTCGAGCACGTTGAATATAAAGTACTTCGAGCGAGGTCGAATGTAAAGTAATTCGAGCGAGGTCGAATGTAAAGTGATTCGAGCGAGGTCGAATGTAAAGTGATTCGAGCGAGGTCGAATGTAAAGTGTTTTGAGCGAGGTCGAATGTTATATGAAAAATGACTTGGTGGAGTTGTGCAAAGATGCTGTTTTGTTTATTTTATTCATTGGAGAATATTACATGTTTCTGTTTGTTCAATACATACATTGGAGAAGTTCCAGTCTACCTAGCCCCTTCATCGCTCGTCCTGGAGAAGTAGTGTATTGGCGGGGCGATGAATTATACTTTGAACTTTGAGACGTCCTCTTTGTTGCCTCATTAAAAACCTCCCCGAGAAAACCGAATTGGGACAAAACCCGGGTGAGGGAAAAAGAGTACGACTTGGAGGGCGCCTGTTTTCGAAAGTTGAAGTATTTGAGGTGGGCGATGTTCCAATTGTTTTGTAGTAGCTTTCCCTCCATTGTTTCTAGTTGGAATGATCCTTTGTTTACTGCTGCCGTGATGTTGTATGGCCCATCCCAATTGGTTCCTAGTTTACCTTCTCTTGGGTCTTTGCTCGCCTATGTTTTGGCCTTGAGTACATAGTCTCCGACTTTGGGTGGCCGTACTTTGGCCTATATGTTGTAGTACCATTCTGCCTGCTGTTTTTGGGCTATCATTCTTATGTAAGCCATGTCTCTTCGCTCCTCTGCTTCGTCAAGGTCTTGTTTCCTGTTTTCGTAATTGCTTGGTCCGCTTTCATTAGATTATCTCAAACTAGGTTCCCCGTCCTCGACTGGTATCATGGCGTCAGACCCATAGACTAGTGAATATGGCATTTCTCCTGTGCTTGTTTTTC